TCAGAAATGGCTGAGAAATGATCCTCACTTTGAACAATTTAAAGGCCAGGAAGGGACCCTACCGTGCAACATAGGTTTGAAGGCCACATAGGTTGGAAGAGCCCAGCTTGAGGTACACAGAAAGGATCGTGGAAGCCTAAAGTAGAGAATGGTTAATTATCCTGGGCTTGAGAGAAGGACTTAAGCAACGTTTGCTGTGTGACCTGTGTGACCTGGGTGATTACGGTTTGAGGCTGAGTGGGAGTTGGCTAGGAAGACAGCGGGAACCACAAAGTGGCAGAGGGCATTTCCAGAAGAGGGTACAACTAGGCTGAGAACATAAAAGCATGAGATCTTGACGCTTCACAGAAAAAGGCCTGTGTGCTAGAAGAGTATGAATGAGCAGAAGAAGGAGGGCTAGAAAGAAGTAAGGAGACAATGTCGTGGGAGAGATTTTAGAGGAAAGAGTCCACAGCAGAAGGTTGAAGACGGTTGATAAGATAAAGTCTAGGGGTGGCTGTGCACAATGGTAAGGCGTAGAGTGGAGAGAGCTCAGGAAAGCTCAGGAAAGGATCATAAGAGCCTGACCGAACCTGAAACCATTGCCTCACTAAACTTTCCAGGGAAAGGGGGCAAGTAGAGGAGCCAAGAAGGCCAAGGCAGAGTCCTGGGAAACATCAGAATACAAGCAAAAGGTGATACTGAAGGAAAACAAATCATCACAACTCAGAGTTATGTATCTCCAGCCTCCTGTCAGCCTCCTCCAGATTCGGTTTCTAACAAGAAGCTAATGATTAGGGTTTTCCCTCCACTGCTAGGTCTTTAGTAATTTTGCCTGGTAAAGATCTAGCAAGGAACCAGTATAGGGTTGCCCTTCCATTTAAGACTGATGTGTGGAAGCCTGATCCGATCTAGGACTAGCAATGTTACTGTGGATCCCTTCCTGTCCTTAGTCCTTGCAGCTCCTCCTGCCAGTGTCTTCCTGAGGTCTATACATGTACGTGGACATGGACAGAGGTGAGGTGGACTCTGCGTCAACTGTGTAAATGCTCACATGCACAGTGGTGAGATAAGGTGTGGGAGACAGAAGCAAGATCAAAGTGAGAGGACCCCAAACCTAAGGGGTGACTCAGGGAGAAAAAGAGCCCACCTTTCTTCAGTGGCCACTTCTAGAAAGGTAAATTAGCCAGGCTGGGACCATGTGGACAGTGAACATCCTAGAACTTACTTTTCATGCCTAAAATTGTTCCTAGATTTCCCCATGACTTTTGAATGCAAGCCCCTCATCCAGCACTCAGGCTCTTCCACTATTCAGTCACCAGACGTTTCTGTCTTGGAGGCCTACAGAATCAGCTACCCAATAACATGAACTTGACTCATGGTGGGCTGTGGCCTGGTATTACTGTCATGCACATGTACATCTGTGTGTTTGTATGTGAGTGGAATCTAGTAGTTATACCTTCTTCCCTAGCCAGATTTCTCCATGACTCCTGCCTACACCACTCTTATCTTGAACAACAACCAACAATTATACTGTACTTTCCATGCCCCAGGTACTGCTCTAAGTGCTTTATGATATTTAATCTTCACAACCACCCAGTAGACAGTATTATTTATTTTCATTTTAGAGATGTGGAAATCATGGCACAGTGAGAATAAATAGCTTCTCCAAGGTCACATACAGAGGCAGTATCAGGCTTTGCAGCTGCTAAAATTGTCCCTAGATTTCCCCATGACTTCTGACATGCAAGCCCCTCATTCAGCACTCAGACTCAGGCAGTCTGGACTCAAAGTCTAGATGTTTCACCTGCAAGGTACACAGCATCTTGAACATAGAAAGTCTGCAACTCTCACAATATAGCACCACCTCCAAAATTCCAGCTCCAGCCTGGGGCACATTGCTGAAGTAGGACAGTCACAAAAGTGAGGATGGGAGTGACCTTAAGGACATGCTGAAGCCAGCTTCAAAAAGCAGGCCTGAGCACAGCAGTCCTGGGAAGCAGTGGCACAGATGCATCAGCATGGCATGTCAGCAAAGAGGCAGCCGACTTTGAGCTAGGCTGCTTTTTACCCTCACAGTCCACACAATGACAAGCTCTGCAAATAGCGGCCAGAGCCATGGGACTACAGAAGAATCCTCGTGTGTGCACTGCTCGGAAAGGACACACACACACACACAGAGTAGTTGTCCATGAAGCGCCATCTTTAAATAGACAAGATATCCTGAAATACACTCTGAGCTTGCGGGCGTTCACATATACAGAAACACATGGCCAGGGCTCACTGAGTAACTGAACAAATGCCTCAGTTGTACCTTAAGTACACAGCAAAAGGAGGAAATATAGTGCCCTGGCAGCTCCTGACTTTCAGTTCCTATTTAAAATGTCTGAATTGGGAGCATCGACAAGCTCCCAAATTAGCTTTTTAAATAGAAGCTGAGAGTTAAAGGAAAAGCGGCCGTGTCATGGGGGAAAAGCAAGTGAAAATCCCGGCCAGGCCAGGCCAGAGGCAGGGGGTGGAGGAGGTGGTGCTGAAAAGAAGCAGTGGTGAGTTGGGGACCAGGGAGGGCCTTCTAGTGTCCTCCTGGACAGTGCTCTTCCAGCTATCCGTAGACCTGGTTACCCCCTCACTATCTCTCTCTGATTTCTAGGTCACCTGGCTGTGGAAAGGGCTATAAACAAAGCCCACACTGTGGCCTAGACTAGAAATCTAACCATTCATACTTTCTTATGGATCTTCCAGACAAAACAGAGACAAGAGCTCACAGCTACCGCAAGTGACAGAAGCCTGGGAGGAATGGGGCGAGAAGGGGTAGGCAAGGTGTCTAAAGCAATGTTTTATTTTCAAACAGGGCTTACAAGGTCCATTACATCACATTTGTGCATTAGTTGATTCCAGAGGAGAAACAATGTTGCCAGCTAACTGTTCCCTGAGACCTCCAACCTTTGGAGGTTAACTTAGCCTCAGAGCTACTCTCAAGATGCAAAACAATGGTGACTATACAGGAATTCAAACTTGAGCAGAAATAAGATAGTGGGTTTTAATCCTCTCAGGTTGGACACTGGGGTACAAGAACAAAGGGATTTGCCCCTCCTGGGACTTGTCCTGGTAGAGACTGAAGCAATTTCTCCCAGGGGTCAAAGCAGTTGAGGTTGGCAATGGTGAGAAAATTAGTTGTTTCCCAGAGGGTAGGAGGGAGGTGCGATTGGTGCCAGGGCCTTCCCTGAATTCTTCCCAGGTCTGCCAGGCAGTGGCAGTGTTGTTAATCATTATTACTGTATGCAAATCAGTATGTAAATCTCACACAGCTTTGAGACTCCTGGTAAATGCTAATGGGACCCACGCCCACCTTTTGAAGGGCCAATTGTGCACCTTTCAGACTGACACAATGAATGGGCAATGGGGAAAGAGAGAGGAAAGAGCTGATGACTGAGAGGCTGCAAGTTTCACAAAATACAGACCTGACTTCGGACTCGTGCTCATTAATCTGGAATAAGATTAGTGGTTGTCAAAAGCCAGAAGCCCCATTCTGGATTTTGGAAAGTCTTTTTCCAGTGCCAGATCTTGAACTACCCTTGCAAACACACCCTCGTCTTCACTGCACTCCGCACATTTTCCTTGCTCTACCTCTCAGCACACACCTCTTCATATTCAAAACTGGAGCCAAGTGTTCCGAGGCACGGAGCTGCCATGCCTCTTGCGCGCCAGGCCGAGATCTAGGGATTCTTTGCACGCAGCCTGAGATGGAGGAAAAGCCACTCACTGTTCGCGGCCCGCCCAGCGTCAACCCGAAGGTGGGAATTTGGGCCCGGCACTCAGTCCTTTGAGAGCGCACTGATCTCCCGTTCCCTAACCCAGGTTAAGGCACCAAGAAAAGGGGTTCTATGCGCTCCAGGGTGGGGCCCAGGGGCCGAGTCATCTCCTGGAGGCAAGCAAAGGGCTCTAGTCACACTCCTGAGTCAAGACTTAACTGTGGGTTCTGGGTGCACGTGGCGGCACATAAGAACGGATCGCGACCTCCTGGCTGTGACCTCACGCTCCAAAAGGAGAGAGGCTCTTGCGTGGGGTAAAGGCAGCGCCCTCACTACACTTCTCCTTTCAGGGTACACGCAGCTATCAGCCGGGACCAGCCACGAAGCCTGCGCGGTGATCTGTTCTACCTCGCCAAGTGGTTGGGTGTTAGCTGCGGCCTCGTGGACAGTGAGAAAGACACCCAGCTAAGCGCACACACCTCACGCGCGCACACGCCAGCGTTCCCCGCCACCTCTCCCTGGGTGTCCAGTAACACACGCCCCCGAACTCACGCTCACGCCACACTCCCAGCTCCTCCCCCACTCCCAAGCAGAGCTCACCTTGCCAAGCTCACCCAGTGCCCACCCTTGCCGGCACACGCGCTCACACCGCGGCGGCACTCCACCACCTCCAGGCACACCCTAGGAATCCTCTCCTCGCCCGGAGACGCACCAGGCTCAGCTTCGTCTCCCTGCCCCCCAGTCCCCCTCACGCACGCACCCCTCTGCACAGACACACACACACACACACACACACACACACACACACACACACACGCACGCACCCTCGAGCGCCGAGTCACTCCCCCTCGCACGCCCTCGCCCTGGGCACCCTCCCGCGGCGAGGTTCCAGGTCCTCTTCCTCTCGCCCTCCGCTGCCTGGCGGCTTGGCGCTCTGGGAACGGGCCTGGGGCCGCTCGGCCGGCGGGGATCTGTAGAGAGCCGAGGGCGCAGCCTTGCCGCTTCCCGCTGCTCCCCTGCCCGCCCCGCCCGCGCCGCGCCCCCACCGCCTCCTCCGGAGAGGGGCCTCGGGAGAGGCAGCCCTCGGCCGGCCGGCTCCGCTCCGCGCGGCGCCCGCAGCGGCGGGGGCAGGAAGCGAGCGAGGGAGCCCGCGAACCGAGCGGCGAGCCGGGGAGGGGACGCGCTGCCGAGCTGGGGCTGGAGCGGCGGCGGCGGAGGAGGAGGAAGAGGAGGAGGAGGAGGAGGAGGAGGGGGGAGGGCCCCGCGGACTGACGGACGCACGAACCGACCGAGCAAGGGAGGGAGCGAGCGAGACTTCGCCGGCGAGGAGGAGCCGCGCGAGCGGCGGCTGCTGGGCGCTTCCCCGCGCTGCTGGGCGCTCGGCGCCTCGGCGGCCCCCGGCCGCGGCTTCCTCGCGCGCACGCGGGGTGCGGGGCCTGGGGCTTGCTTCGCCGCCGAAGGTAAGAGGGATGCGACCGAGGCTTCTGGAGCCAGCAAGTGCGAGGAGCGGTGCTCCCACGCCTGTTGCTCCAGCTGCCCACGCGGCACCCTCCCACTCCCGCGCCCGGGTGGGTGGGCGCTGGGGCGCCGGAAGGATTGGGGGTGGGGACGGTGCCGAGGGGGTGCATGCAGCCTGCTCGGGGGCGTCGGTTCTCTCCGGCTGTGCTGCTACCGCCGGGCTCGCGACGCGCCTGAGATTTGGGGGTGGGGGTGTGAACCTCTGCCCTCTTTCCATTGGCCTGCCCTCCCTGGGGGGTGCCCCAGGATCTGCTGCGGGTGGAGAAGGCTTGCTCCGTCTCTGCTCTTTGTAAGTGGTGAAGGAGAGAAATGGCCGAGTGGAAGCTGGGAGCGATTTGGGGCGCTTCGCAAAGTTCTCCAGCTCAGCGAGCCTGCGGTGTGCCGATGTACCCATGGAGGCCAGAGGCCGTCCATCTGGTCCTGCCGGGCGCTGCTTCCACCCTAGAGCTCTGGGAAAGGTCTCAAAGTGATACCCGAAGCCGTTGCGGCGCGGGGAAGGGGTTCTTAAGACTTGCCTTAGGGGGTGTTTACACTGGGGATGGGAGACTGAAGGGGTTGGACAGAAGTTACCTAGAATAACTAAATTCCTGTGCTTGCTTAATGGTGATACTTGAATTAGGTCCAAGATATTCTGCTTTTGTCCTGGTAAGTCAGCAACAGGCTGAGATTTCAGACCTGGAATCTTATACCAAAGAGAAGGCAAGCGTGTCTTTCTTACGAAGAGTATCTTGAACTTTTTCGGGGCCCTGCGCACATGGTAATCTGTTTGTAAAATCCGGCATGCATTGCTGTATTTTTAATGTATGTGGTGGTTAAATTTACAGGTTATTTACTGCTCCTTCAAAGGGGTTACTTAATACCTGTACAAAGGTCTCCTGAGCTAAGTACCAGTGCAGTACAAAGCATGTGTACGTTTCTCCCATATGTACATGTTGTCATACAGAAAGGAATTGATGTGTTTGTTTTTCCTTGTTCCTACTTGAAAGCAACGAAATGGAAATACACAACCCCCTACCCCTCTGGAAGATTAGTAGCTTGTTCTCTTTTGCTGGAGAAAGAGTTCAAAAAAGTGCCCTGGCCAGCCTAGGAGTGGCACTGTGGGAAAGAAGATCTCTGTGTGTCCAGGGCCTGTGCCTTAAGGATTTCCAATTTGGTTTACCATGTCAATTTCATGTTTGCCTGCCTAAAGTACCATGGACACAGGAAAAACCTCTGGACTGTGGACAATTTCCCCTTCCCCCAAACCACCCCCATTCTGGGATAAAGATTGTGATGTAAAATTATGGAAAATAAGTTTCCAGAGACTCTCCTATGAGGTCACTAAAGGGCAAGCCCTTGGAGATGTAACATTTTTTACTGCCTTGTACCTGTGTGCAGGGCAGGTGTCAAACCCCAGGAGGGCTGTGGTCATTCTGCCAATTTTTGTTCCTCTTCCTCCAAACCAGAAGCTGTTTAATGTAGCAGCTGACTTTTTAAAGCAGGGGAAAATTTGCTTCCCTTTTCCAGGATTTTTCACCGTTATTATTTCAAAACTTACCTGTTTCAAACGTCTCTTCCCGAGTCTCCCCATCACCACCGCCAAAGCTTTCCTATTGTCAAACTCTTCTGCCAAAAACAAAAATAGCTTCAGATTTTTCATTTGTAAGGCGTCCACGTCCTAGTAAAATCTTGGCATTTGAGGCATGTGCAGTGCCATTGGCTGGAAATGGGGCCGCACGGTATTGCCTGTTGCAACATTCATACTCAGGCCGGCTTAGGAGCTGCTGATGATTGCTGCATGGGCAAGTTCTGCTTGAGCCAGGTCATTCCTGCAGAGTTGTGTAGTGGATATGGTCGTATCCCATATGGCCTTGAGTCTGGTATCTGGTAGGACATTTATCCTCCCCTTCCAAGCCCGGTGTGTATACAGAACGTGTACATGCATGTGCACACACACAGAGAGAATGTAGCAGTGGGATAATTATTCCTTGTTTGTTATCTTTTACCCAGGCGATCAGGCTTTGAGTCTCTAAAGACAGCCTGATGCCTGCCTGGCCTTCTTTAGGATAACCGTTCTGGATTAATGTTTGGGGTAAAGTTTCAGCCTTAGGACCAGAGACTTTATCATAGATAGGAGCTGGGTTATTTTCGCCTATTCCTCTGATTTTTCAGTTTTCTATCTGTATTATGAGATACTCATGGCTTTTGGAAAAGAGAGTCTTTTAGACCTTGGGTCTCAGGAGTCATAGTTAAACAGTACTTGGATAGGAAGGGAAGGGACATCATCCTTCCCAGGTGTTTGGTCCTGTATTTGGCCAAAGGGGTATCCACAAGTTGTCTCCTCATTGAGCAATCACTTGCTTTTTGCCATTTGAACCCACTCCAAGTCCTACCAGTCCAAGACCCATTCTGAGATAGACACATGGGAGTCAGATGTGCAGGGCTCCAGGACTTTACTCTGTAGAAAAGTTACCAGGGCTTGGATGTGCATGGACCAAGCCTGTGTGTGGACCAGGCCTCAGACTGCCTTGCAATCTAAGTGAGGCAGGTTGTGTGCCCTGTTCTAGGCACCAGCCTAATCAGGAATTCTCAGAACTCTCTTTGCTGAGATGAGGATCAAGCTAATTGCATCCCCACAGCAACAAGCCCAGCTGCTGTTTCCTGCTTTGCATGGGTAGCTGTCATAAGGCTATCTCGGGGAGACCTGAGCTATAGTCTCCAAGTTCTGTTTTTTTTTTTTTTTTTTCCCCGCGTGGTACTGGGGATCAAACTCACAACCTTGTGCTTGCCAGGCAGAAACTTATGCCACTGAGCTAAACCCCCGGCCCTATAGTCTCCATGTCCTGTATCCAATAGAATCAGGGCTCATTTAAACTGAACTTGTTACCTTCTTATCCATTTCTTTTTCATAGTTGAGAACTCAGCGGTCCAGAGAGTTAACAGTGGCTTGCTTCCACAAACTTAGGATGTAACTGAAACTAGAATTCAAGGGCTCCAGAAGCTCTTGTTCTCTGCTGCCTGGGGCAGATGGGAGACTCCTCCCTATAGCCTATTCTCTTCTGTTGAGGAGGTCAATATTTGGCTACACCTTTGAAAACGGTCAGGTCTTGACATGGAGCTTAGTCCTTTCAAAGGAAAATTTCGAATTCTCAGTTTCCTTATTTATGACCTGTGAGTACAAATTATGACCTGGAAAAACCAGAGAAATTTATGGTACTAAATTAAATGTTATATGTAAAAGTGCCTAGGAAAGTGTTCAGAACATTGTTAGTATTCAGTAAACCTAAATAATGCATCTATGATAGGTGTTTATCTTATGGATTGCTTTCTAGCTCCTTTGACCCTTGGGAACCTAGCCAAGAGTATGCCGAAGGACTGTAAGTCTGGTCCAAGAAAAGCACAGCTCATTACAAGGGCACATTTCTTAAAGAAAGATGTGCAATGCAAGATATGTCCCCACATTTTCTATCAGTCGCATGTGTATTACCCTCAGCTATAGATGAATGACCACCATTCTTTCCCTGGTTTTCTCAGTTCTGTAATCAAGAGTTCATCAGGTCTGTGCTGTTTTTCTATGCTGAGTGGTGACACGGGAAAAGTCATTGTCATTCCTGTTGTCTCCTGAAGCAGCGAAATCAAACTATCTTTTGTAGTGAACAAAGGGACTTGGGAAAATTTCCCTTAGAATGTAGATGGGGAAACTGCGGCAGAAACCAGTCCTTTGAGGAAACTTGACTGAAGCTCTGGTGAGTCAAAGACAGACTCTTGATTCTTGGGTTATTTTGATTCAGCTGTGTCTTTATAAGTCACTATCTGTTTAGAAATATATTATTATTAGAAAGGCATGAAATACAATTGGGATGGAATATAAATTGTCTGGCTATCCACTTGAATCCAGATTGACTAAGTCTGGGTTTAAAATCTCCATTTACTCATAACCTTTAGATAACTATTATAACTCGGTATCCTTTATTCCTCATCTAAGAAAATGAGGCTAAAGTGGTGTCTACCCCACAGGACTTTTGGTGGGATGGCTGGAGATGATTGAGGGAAGCAAGATGTACTGTCCCTGATAAGATCAGTGCTCAGTAAACTTCCTGAGCTGAATCCCTACCCTGCTACTTTGGGGTTGTCAGACTGCTACATGTCGGTGAGCCTCAGTTTTCCTTATCCATAAAATAGGTGATGTGATAGACCATTCTTCCAGGGTGGGGATCGAGAGAATCCATGAAGGCAGTAAGAGCTGTGGTCTCATTATTTGACAACTGTTGGGGAAGAACTGTGAGAAAAACGGTCAGAGTGATAGGTCTGGATTTGTAAAGAAAGAGATAACTTAAACCTCCAGTTTCTATCCAGATAGAAAAGTCTAGTGGGATTTCTGAAGTGAGAGAAATCTAGATCTGGGAGTCAGATGGGAAGCAGGATTATAGGAAGAGATGAAGATCAAATCTTATTACAAGTCTTCGTGGAACAGAAAAAAAGTTCCAAGATTTATCCTTGCTTCGTTTATTTAAATACAGTCAAATCAAGTGAATTCCAGAAGATCCAAATAATTCTGAGTTAGGATTTGTTCTGTGTAATCAGTCTGGGATTGGTAGAGATGAGCGTGCCAGCCCTAAACAATTCCTTGCTGCTGTTACGTGTGTTTCTGTGTCACCACATGTCTTGCTACAGATGGTATACATTTGGGGATTGCAGAGTCATTTCACTATCATCTCTAAAAAGCCAGATTTGGGAAGGTAAATCTGTTTCCCAAAGCTAAATATAATTCTCCATGCCATTGTTCCCCCGTCCCTAGGGGTCATGGGGAAATGGGATTCGGAGGGCCATCGGTGAAGAGACAAGATGGCCCGCTGTGAAAATCTCTAGGGGTAGAATGCAGATCAGGTGAGAGGCTGGCATGGGAAGGAGCATTGTTATATAACCAGAGGGAGTGAAGCATGCTGGGCAGATGGAGTTGGGAGGCAAAGGAATCTAGGGATGGCAATGAGTGGATCAGCTTCCTCCAGGGAGAGAGAGTCAGTGCATTCCACGTCAGGTGGACCAAGAGTCCAAGAATTCCTTCAGGGAATGGAAGCAAGACCCTGCTCAGCCTCGTAACCTTCCCGGTGTCTTTCCACCATGTCAGGGCTCTCAGGGAAACACTTGGACAGAAGTTGTTAAATCAAGGAGCAAGACCAAGGTCACAGAGAGTAAGCACTCTACCAAAGACAACCTTCTCTGTGGGAGCTGGGGCCAGAGCTTCCTAAGCCTGAGGCCTACTGTTGTCAACTACCATGGCAGAGAAGTTTCTAGACATGGGCAATCCTAGTCTCCTTCCCACCAGGGAGGAGTAAAGAGAATGTGTTTACCTAATCTCCCTCATCTCCACCCCATTCCTGATTACCCTAGTGGATGAAAAGTAAAATAAAAATTAGCATGTTTATCCCACTTTTAAATTCATTTAATGAGAACTCATTTACCCTCTCTCAATTTAAATTCGTAATAACACCATAACCTTTCAGTGCTGATTATTACCTGAGTCTTCCCACATCTTCCTGCTAAAGAGGCTTTCCCTCCAAATGCGCCTGAGCCCTCTTGGAATTGACAATTTGTCAGGCAGTCATCAACATCTGGCAGTCTTACCCCTCTGCTTGCTTCTCTGCTAGGTGCTCTCTGTATTTAGGGAGGACAGAAAAGAATCAAGTTCTCTACCTGTGGTAGTTTCAGTTTTATTAATTTGCCTTCCCACTCACAGTGACCATTCCCATCCTCCATTTCTTCAGCCCTTTCTCTGCTCTCTCCTGTCTCCCAGGCGTTGCTGAACTAACTCCAAGCTGGTGTATAAGGTGTCCAAGCAGCTGCTGGCCCAAGAGCTGGCGTCACCATGGCGGCTGGAGTTGCAGCCTGGCTGCCCTTTGCCCGGGCTGCGGCCATTGGATGGATGCCAGTGGCCAACTGCCCCATGCCCCTCGCCCCCACTGACAAAAACAAGCGGCAGGATGAATTGATCATCCTCAATGTGAGTGGGCGCCGGTTCCAGACCTGGAGGACCACGCTGGAGCGGTACCCGGACACCCTGCTGGGCAGCACAGAGAAGGAATTCTTCTTCAACGAGGACACCAAGGAGTACTTCTTTGACCGGGACCCAGAAGTATTCCGCTGTGTGCTCAACTTTTACCGAACCGGGAAGCTGCACTACCCACGCTACGAGTGCATCTCGGCCTATGATGATGAGCTGGCCTTCTATGGCATCCTGCCGGAAATCATTGGGGACTGCTGCTATGAGGAGTACAAAGATCGCAAGCGGGAGAACGCTGAGCGCCTCATGGATGACAATGACTCAGAAAACAACCAGGAGTCCATGCCCTCGCTCAGCTTCCGCCAGACCATGTGGCGGGCCTTTGAGAACCCCCACACCAGCACCCTGGCGTTGGTCTTCTACTATGTGACTGGATTCTTCATTGCTGTCTCGGTCATCACTAATGTGGTGGAGACAGTGCCATGTGGCACGGTGCCAGGAAGCAAGGAGCTGCCCTGTGGGGAGCGCTACTCGGTGGCCTTCTTTTGCCTGGACACAGCCTGTGTCATGATCTTCACCGTGGAATACCTCCTTCGGCTCTTTGCAGCACCCAGCCGCTACCGCTTCATCCGCAGTGTGATGAGCATCATTGATGTGGTGGCCATCATGCCCTATTATATCGGCCTGGTCATGACCAACAATGAGGATGTGTCTGGGGCCTTTGTCACGCTCCGGGTCTTCCGAGTGTTCAGGATCTTCAAGTTTTCTCGCCATTCCCAGGGTCTGCGGATCCTGGGCTATACCTTGAAGAGTTGTGCCTCTGAATTGGGCTTTCTGCTCTTCTCCCTCACCATGGCCATCATCATCTTTGCCACTGTGATGTTTTATGCCGAGAAGGGCTCCTCTGCCAGCAAGTTCACAAGCATCCCAGCCTCCTTCTGGTACACCATTGTCACCATGACCACACTGGGGTAAGTCAGTGTTACTGGACCCATCAGGGTAGAGGCTGGGTGGGCTGTGAAGCTTTGTGTGGTGTCAGGGGTGGGGAGAGGAGCAAAGAATCCCTCACCCAGGAAAGTGGCAGAAGGGGAAGCCTTGTGCAATTTTCTTGGGGTGATAACTTGCTCTGAATAGACTTAGAGATGAGACAAATTATAAAGTGTGGCAAATTAAGTCACCATTTCTTTTTTCTGCCATGTATTGTATGTGTGTGTCTGTGTGTGTGCGTGCCTGTGTGTGGAGGGGGGGTGATGGTTACATTCTTACATCTGTGCTTATGAGGGGAGAGAGACAGGTCCTTGGGTGAGGGGAAAGAGTACTTTGAGAAGTTCAGTGAGTGTTACAAGAAGATACAGATTTCCTTTCCCAGAACATACTAGAAGCAGCTTTCTGGATCATTCCTGCGTTTCTTCTTTGTAGTGCATTTTAGGCTGTTTTTATTTTCCCTTGCTTTTCTTCTCTGCTGCCACATTTGCTCAAAGGTTCAGCGGCTCTGAACATACTTTTCTCTAAGTGACCCTGGATTTGGATTTTCTGCATAGTGAGGCACCTGTTTTCTTTTCTCTCAGTAAAGGACGAGCAGTCTTGCTTTCTCAGCCTGCAGCAGCATTAGCATGACCCAGACTTGGGTGGCAGTGAGGTGGTTTGAATGGATCATGTGGTCAGATAGAAGCAGGAGCAGCATCAGAGAAAAGGACAGGTGCCCAGGGATTTCTTGGTTCACTCGAGAGTCTCTTCCAGCTCTATGAAGTCTTCTGTCTATTGAGGTCACAATATTGTGTTTATGGTGCTGGGATGTGAAGCTTCCCATCAGAAGAAGGGGTTTAAGGAGGAAATTACAATTTTCACCCTCACGGGATTAGGCCAATAAAGGCATCTTTATACAGACATAGATTTCATAGGGGTTTCTGTGTCAGCTGTTGGAATCTGTTGAGACTAATGCAAAAATCTCTCCACAATTCACATGTTGCGTCTCTGTTTGCTTAGGCCAAGGAGCGTTATATTGCTGATGGAGAATTCATGAACCTTTTTATTTGGTCTGTGACAGTTGGTTGGGGGCATCCTGGTGATTTGATTTTTTTCCTGGCTGAAGTGATGGTGATGTCTGATTTTTTCATAATGCTTCATATGCTTATTGGGAATGACTGAGTAGGTGATGGGACCTTTAAAATGATTACATTTACCATTCTGCTGTAAAGGAGGGGAAGGGAGTAGCAAAGAAGAGAATAAACGTGTTGCCATCTATTTGTGAAGGCCACATTTGATAGGGGCATTCTGTTTACCTCTGTCTGATGAAAGTCATCCTATTCATCCTCCTGTTTCGGCACGTGTGTGTGGGCACGCACATGCATACGTGCATGCACACACACATGTACTTCTTTGAATAGATACCCAGAATGGGTAAGAATATTTGGTTATCTGACTTTGTCTCCCTTGGGTCAGGTGGCACATGTGAGTTTTGGGCATCAAGGGATATTTAGGGATAAGATAGAGGAAGAGTTACCTGTTGTTAGATGAGATATCTTCCTTTAACCCTGACACCCATCAATCAGCCTTATGTTTATTCCAACAGCAGTCCCATTTAGCAGACCTTTAGAGTCCTACCTTCTTTAGATGGCTTAAAGGTATGATATTCTACTCTAGTCACTGCTAGCCAAGAAGGTATCAGTCTTACAATTTCTAAATGTCAGTCATTGTGCTAGGCACACAGAGGCATCTTCCACCCTTCTAGACTGATCCTGGCCATCCCTTTATCTTTCATGGCCAAACAGCCTATCCTAACTCTGGGCATGATCCTTATACATTAAACATTTCCTTCTAGTTTGTTTAAAATACTGCCTTAGAAATGAATGGCTTTTTTTTATAGCAAATTCTAGTATTTTACTGGTGCTGGTATTGGAACTGATTTCCTTTGGCATTTGCCCTGTGGATTAAGGACTAAGTCCAGCATCAGTGGGTGAACAGTTAGCGTCACATTTACTTTCTTGAGGTGGTGGTGGGACTCTGGTAGAGAGTGATGGCATCAAGAAGAGAGGGTTATCTGCGTTGGGGGAGACATTCTTTCTCCAACTGTGGGCTCTGTGGGCTTTCTCACCCCACATCTGACAATGGCTAAGTTTGTTTTTCCTTCCCCAGGCATTAAAATATCTAGTTTGGGGAGAAGAACTAAGAACCAAGTGGACAAGAAAGGAAACCTTTAGTGGTGTCTTCCTTAAACCCAAATAAGTTATGAAAAAGAGCCCCTCCAAACAGTTCAAAGCTAGATCAGGCTACTTTGACTCTGTCCTGAGCTGGCAGTTGGCACCATTATCAGGCTCTTTTGCTTGACTGTACATAGCAGATGCTTGGTAAAATGTTTTTTAATGAATGTGTCAAAGTAAATGGGGCACCTTCCCCATTTCCTAGGCCTGATAGACTTCTCAGTCCCTTTTAGATATATCTATTCTTTCTTGAGCATATATGCAAGACCGTCAGTCTGTGTGCTCTGCTCTAGCCCTTGTGCAACAGGAGAGATGAGAGCACCCATTGCTGGTGACTTATTTATCCAGTGAGATGCTCCACAGGACTACAGGCATTTTCGCATCCTGACTGGAGGCCTCACTGACTTGACCATAGAAATCTTTCCCTCTCCACTGAATGGTTCTTCTTCTGACCACACTCCCTAGTTAGTTGTACTTGTTCAACCACTGGAGAAGCCCATCTTTTTCTTATTCCACACTGGCATTTTAGCCCCAAGGGGCTGTGGAATAGTAAAAGCCAATATTCTGCCGCATTCTAATTGCTTCCAGCAGCTTTCAGCTGATACCTACCTCTTCCTGAGTCCTGACCTTCCCTTTTCTGCTCCTTCCCCAAGCTCCTATTTCTAGTCTGGGAAGAGGCTGTCTTCAGCTCCTTTGCAGAGCAGGGCTGGCTGACCTTCCAAGGGCCGTGTTCTGTGTGAAAGGATCCCACTCTTTCTGGCTCTGGTCGCCCTTTCTGTTTCCCAGAACTTCACTGTGACTTACAAGGTGTCCTCCAGAGGGTGATCTCTTTGAGCCAGTTATCACTGTTATTTAATATCTCAAAATACCTTGAATCTACAAGAACAATAAGAGCCCAGATTGCCATCTGGGCTTGTGGATAGTTTTCTTTGCAGCTTCCTGTGCTGGTGGGAAAGACCCCTGAACTCTGCCGAGGTTTCCCTGTTGCTCCCTTGACAGCTGAGTTCCCAAATGCACCATTCAAGGATTAATTTCTGTGCTAATAATTGATGCTATAAATAAAACAAATCCCCAATTATCTCAGCTAACAGAGGAAAGGGATAACAGAACTCCCAATATTAAATAAGATCAACATAACTAACATAACGGGGAATGTATCATATGACATAAACTTTTTCAAACTAGATTTCCCATTTTAATTTTACTTAACTTTGCTTGGCATCAGAGTTGGCCTGAACCATCGGAGCCAGTCCATCGGGGCAGGTGGAGGGAAGGGAGGAGGATTAGGTATGAGGGGAGGAAAGCCTTGAGAGCAAGTGGCAGTAAGGGCTGCAGCTCCAGGCCTGGTGGGATGGGGCTGCTCTGGGATATGTTAGGGAAGGGAAGTTGAGCATGGGAAAGGTGCAGAGCAATGTCCACTCCTGATAAGATGACTCATTGCCGCTGGTTGGCTCATTATATAATTGGGATCGGCAGCCTATGTGTCACCCCATGCTTTGAGATGAGAGCACTTTTGACAGTGTCCAAAAATCACTTTAACAAAAACAGAATTGATTTTTACTTCTTCCAAACATGGAGCAGCTTCCAGATGATTTGCATTTCCTTTTAAAATGCAATCCTGGAAGGGGCCTGCCTGAATTTCTAGGAGGCAGAGAGGCTCAACTTGGAAAATTGAGACAGGATCAGCACAGGTTGGGGTCCTTGACCAGGCATCCCCACTCCCAGGCAGAGCTAGTTTGAGATTCATTTTTGTTAACCCTTTAATTTCCAGAATTCTGTCTGCATCTTTATGCACTGCCATCAGGGCGTTAAGTGTCCTGGCCTGGACACTAACTAACTATACTTGGCTGCGTGGGGTGGGTCCCTACCCTGGCCATGGTTAATGCACTGGGAACAAATGACCTCAGATTCTTTTGTTTGTTGGTATGTCTTTCTTAGTTGATAGTTTTCTGGTACAAAAATTCCTAAGATGCACACTTGTATCCCAACAAGGAATCTTTCATTTTTTCAACATTTGTTGAGTGCCTATTGTGCACCAGACAGCATGGTAGACTGAGAGTACATGAGGACTGTGATTACACATTGGCCCAATATAAAGTACAGGAAAAGCGAATTAAATTAAACTTACTTCTCTTTCTTTGAATTTTGTGTTTTTGTTGCTGTAGAGACTACCCCTATCTGCTCTTCTTGACTCGTATCATTTCTTCAAATTTAGCCCAACATCATCTTTTGCAAGAGGGCTTCCTGGCCCTTCTGAAGCTGGAGACCCTCCTTTTATTTCCCATTCTTCTATTTTGTATTACCATATTTTATTTACTTCCACCGTTTGACTGCCTTCTGCCTCTGGATATGAGCTCTTCAAAGATCATTCTATGATTTGTGCTTAACACAAGGCTTGATACTTGGCCATTCAATCAAATGTGTTTTACCTGAGGTTGCTCAGCTTTAGTATTCTTATTTGATGACCATCTTTTGGCCATTGTGAAAACCACCCACAGTGCTGGCCAGATGTTACCTGTATGATTGTGTCAGGCAGGATGTCTGGGCAGAGCAAGACAGGGAGGCCAAGCAGGCACTCTACAAGGCTTCAGCTTTAGTGAGGTTGTAGCTTTTTGCAAGAGAAGTTTGCACCCAACCCTTGTTGTTGCTCTTGGCTACTTGACCGTGCTCTCTTCCAGATTCCAGGGCCAAGAAGGAACAGTAAGAGAACCAACCACAGATAAGCCCCCTATCCATGATGTTTCCCTCCAGTCAATTATTTATTCAACAAG